TCACTCTGACATGGTCCCGCTCAGCTTCCCCCCTCTCTCTCCGACACGGTCCCGCTCAGCTTCCCCCCTCTCTCTGACACAGGCCCACTCAGTGCTTGCTTCCTGCATGCCAAATCACGGAACACCTCCTTCGCTTCTGCGGCGGTGTGACTGACTGTTTTATCTGGGTCTCATGTCAAAGGTCACCATCCCACATCAGTATGTAATCTGTTCTCCCAGAGAAATGAATGACAGGACACCGGGGGGGGGGGGGGGGCATTGGCACCGAAAGCCAATGAGAGACCTTCATCGGGCTCTTCACGGCTCCCCCAGCTGGGAATAGCTAAGATAACGGGGGTCCCTGCCGGATGATACATGGAGCTCCAGCTAAAATACACGGCCTTTCAGGGTCTTGAAAAGATCAAAGACGGGCATCAATAATCTCCAGCAGTCTTTATGTAACCATGACAGGGAGGCAGAGGCAGAAAGAAAGGGACCACAGTGGTCCTTCTCCAGTGGGAAATCGGAGGGTGAAACCTTTGTTCCTTCTGATAATCTTCGGCAGGGTCCACAGTCCTGCTTTTGTGTTATTGCCTGTAGTAAGAATTCAGACCAGTGAATTTTTTGTTCTCTGTGATGACAGATGACAGAAGATGGTACAGGTCCCTTTTGTCAGAGAGTCTCACATTGCAAATGAAAACAGTCTTGAATTCTGTCTGAGGTAATTCTGGAGATTTTTCTCTCTGGTGTTTCTTAGATTCTGGGAGCAAATGTCTTCTGTATCATTAATTGAACAAGACCTCCTACCGATGCCCTAAATATAGTATTTTTGCTTTGGTGTTCTTGCAGTTGAATGGAAATGAAGACTTCGTCCTTCTTTTTACTAAGTCGTTGGGGAAACAAGGACATTAGCGAGTGTCCGTCAGGGTGGCATGACAAACAAACACTGTGTTTTGGTCACAGCTGTCATCAGAACTACGCAGCTTTTTCTTCGTGCCTTTTGCCTGTTGTGTCCCTGTAATGAAGATGTGCTCTACATTCCCTTTGGTTCCTTACTGCCATATAATGTAAAATGTAAACATGCAGCGGGCCGGCCGCGGTGCCCCTGCCCCACACCCTCTGCCAGCCAGCCTGGCTTCAGGCTCATCGTGACCCTGTACTGAATAAGCGGTCATGGATGGTTGGATTTGTCCACTAGATTTAGCGTGACGTGGGAGAATAGCTGAGGGCTGGTAGTTGTATACCTCTGTACTCTCTCCCTGTCCATTGGCGTCGTGTTTCAAGGCTATTTGCTTAAAACTGCCAGAATCAATTAACATGAATAATGCATGGCAGCTCGACTTACCCTGTACCCTAAGAGGTTGCAGTCCCATTGTCTTCCCTCTCACACACTCTTCAGATGGGTAGACACCTCACTGAATGTGCTCTTTTTCTGGAGATAAGGTGCATATTTCATGGTAAAAATAAAATTTGGCACTTGAAATTTTGTTTCTTTCTTTCTTCTTTTTTTTACCATAGGGTACCAAGTGAAGCAGTGCAGTGTGAGCGTCCTGCCCGGTGGCGGAGGAGTCGGACTCCGTCTGTGGCCTCGTGGTCATATGAGGGATTTGATGCTTGTAGTTTACTGCTTGAAACCATAAAACAGCTGTTGACTTGCATTTCTGGTTGAATCTGTTTGGGTCTTATGCAAAAAATAATAAGAATGTCAAGAATGAACATATCGACTTCATTTTCTGCTCTGCGAAAAGCACTTCATTCTACAGACGCCTCCCACTGTGGCCTGCAGCCACTGCAAATGCCGTCGCATTCATCGGGGGTGTTTACGTCCAATCACACCTCAGCATAACTACACTGATAATACTAATGGCGGGGGCGTTATTCCTCTTATTCATTCATCTGTTTTTAATTGCTAGATACCCGTTTAGCATACAGGTGAAGTGTAGCCTTGTTTCTGGGAGGCTGGCGACACCAGAACAGGACGGGGGGGGGGGGGGGGCACAGTCTCCCACAGGAACACGCCAAGGGCACTTCAGAGACACATGATGAATTCAGGGAGCCTCTTTGAACTGTGGGCGGAAACCGGAGCTTCCGGAAGGAACCAGCGCAAGTGTGTGGAGAACGAGCAAAAAGCACGCACACACACGACCGCGGCCAGGTCCCAACGCAGCGTCTGTGTGTCTTCCTGCTCTCTTTTTCTGGTATGACGCTATAAATATCACTGAACTCTAAATGTGGTCCCAGGGCACTGATTGTTACTTTTGGGTTTATTCTACCCATTAACAAGAAATCCTGTATGATTACCGTGACCCTGCTGTGTCTGGTGTTAACTTTTCCGGAGCAGAATCTGTTCCGCTCTGCAACTCCACACAGAGGTCAACCTGTCGCGTAGAGAAGTGGGTTGTGCAACATAACAAATAAGGTCATTTTCCACAAAATAAATGTAGCTAGGAGACACAGGCCCTACAAGATTATTTGTTTTCTAAGTAATGCTGGTCATTGGCAAGACATAAATACGTCCGTCTACTAATTTAAGGCAAACACCTGTGTTTGTGTGTCAGTTTAATAGCCAAAAGCTCACCTTCATTCATAACAAGACCTTCAGAATCATCATCCCTTTTCAATGACCTACTGTAGCATACAGGCACGCTCCCTTGCAACAACCCATCAAGCATTATTTTTCACATAATATATTAGTCTTCAGTGCTAGTCACGGTAAAATTTCCAGTGAGTTTCATTTCTTTACAGACAATTTTTGAGGCAATATGTTTGCATCTAGTGTTTAGAGCCTGACTGCTGGGCTGGCGTGAGGCTGAGGAGGTGCTAATTACAGACAGGGCTCCTCATATGTGTGGGTGGCTTTCTCACCTCACACTGCCAGCAGTGCAGGTTCTTATCCCTGCTGGTGGACTGTCATCCCATCTAGGCTATTCCCTCATTTAAGCCCCTTGGGCTCTGAATTACCAAGAGTATACGTGGATATTGATTCAAGATGGGTGGATGGCTGGATTCGCTTTAAAAGATTGCCCTCTAGTGACACATGGCTGTCATTACAAGCACTACATCCAAACGAAATATCCCTTACATTAATCACACAATAAAGGCAGTGACGAATAAACGTTACACAAATTTTGATGAACTACAAAATTCCATCAGTTGCACAGTATTTTTACATATTTGCTTAACCTTCAATTTACAAAACAGACTGGTTAATGATTTAAAACTAAAATTAAAATGCTACTGTTTTACAGCACAAACTGCTCAAGTAATTATTCTGCAAAATAGATGCAGACACCCAGCAGCAGTATGAGAGGTTTGGACTGTAAAAGGGCAACATCAATCAGTGCCTACACAGCGACGCGTCCTAATAGGGACACGAGGCTACATGTTTTACACTTATTAGAAAGATATTTATTCCACTATTATACTTTACAGCAGTGTTTCCCAACCCAGTCCTCGGGGAACCCCGGATAGTCCATGTTTTTGCTTCCTCTCAGCTCCCAGCACCTGTACCAGGTATTCGGTGGTCCTGATTGGCTGGGAGCTGGGAGGGACTGCACGAAGTTCCCCGAGGACTGGGTTGGCAAACACTGCTTTACAGCAACTACAAGGAGGCAGACTACTGAGCTGCCCGTAAACAGCATCACAAGAACACTGGAGCTGTAGAGAACTGACCTTTCTTTCCAAAGAAGTTGAATTTTGCAACAGTGGCCTCACTTTGGATTGTTGCATTAGCTAATTTGTAACATTTGTCATTATGATGATAACATACAGTACAATTGTGGAGCCCCTCGTGATAAGAGATGTTAGGAGTAGCATGACTTAATGAGGCTAGTAGACTGTTGCGGACCCGCTGGCCCTTGAACTTAAATGGTCACTTAAAGGGTGACTGAAAAGGTGTTGCACAGTGAGGAGTCTCTAGGTGGCGCCCCAGTCTCCAGGCCGCATGCTCGTGTGTGGAGAGCAGAAGATCCCAGCCCTTAGAAGTTCTCTTTGTAGAACTTGAAGCCAAACTGCTCACAGTGGGCCTTGATGAGCTTGGCCAGGGCCAGTGAGCCACAGTAGAAAACATGCACCTTTCCTTTGTTCTCCTCCGCAACCTTCTGGAAGACCTGGAGTGGCAGGCGGGTCAGGAGCAGGTCACCAAAGAAACAACATATATACCACAGGTATGTCTAAAAACTACAAAATAAAACACTGTGGTTCTGGGGAAAATGTTATATGTAAATGCTACATTGCCCTGCCCCTTTCTCTAAGGCAAGGGTGCGCAGTCTTACCCGCAAAGGGCCGGTTAGGGGTGGGCAGTCTTACCCGCAAAGGGCCGGTCAGGGGTGGGCAGTCTTACCCGCAAAGGGCCGGTCAGGGGTGGGCAGTCTTACCCGCAAAGGGCCGGTCAGGGGTGGGCAGTCTTACCCGCAAAGGACCGGTCAGGGGTGGGCAGTCTTACCCGCAAAGGGCCGGTCAGGGGTGGGCAGTCTTACCCGCAAAGGGCCGGTCAGGGGTGGGCAGTCATTCCCGCAAAGGGCCGGTCAGGGGTGGGCAGTCTTTCCCGCAAAGGGCCGGTGTGTATGCGGGTTCTTGGGATAACATTTAGGTCAGCTGTTCACATCCAGGTGTGAGGCCTCTTCAGCCAATAAGCCCTCTAATTAATAATCTATATAGGGAGATGCACCGAAAACCCGCCACACACAGTGGCCCTCTGGAAAAGATTGGCCACCCCTGCTCTATGGGCAAGTAGGCATATTAAACATAAAACATTTAGCTCCCCCTAGTGGTATAACATTAGGTTGTGATTCAGGAAACATAGAATTTAGAATAGAGTAGAATAGAAAAGAATTTTCTACTGCCAAAAAAATCAGGTTGGTGGAAACTGTTTGGTGCAATTCTGCTATATAAGACAATGACAACCATTGAGAGTGATCGACAACATGGCTAAATGTTACACTGAGAGAAGGAAACAGCAGAGGGTCGGACTACATATATGACATCTGCAAATAAGTAAATATGGATGAATGAACAGACAAACAAAGATAGATAGATAGATAGATAGATAGATAGATAGAATACTGTCAGTCAGAGCTTCCACCTTGTTCCATTCTGGCTTCCCTGGCTGGGTTCGGGTACGCAGGCCGGTTATCGAGTCCCGGTTCTCCTTTTTGGCAAGCAGATCTAGCGCCATCTGCAGTCCGATGGCCTTCATGTCATTCTTGCTCAGAGCCGAAGTCATGTACATGTGCATCTCCAGGAACAGGCCTCACGACATGGGAGCAAGATGAGGCCCCGATGGGGCAGGACAACAGAGATTCATGGTGTTAAAGAACAAAATGGAAACATAAAAAGCTGCCATTCTGTGTTCTGCAAGTGTTTCCTTTGATGTCCCACAAATAAGAAATTCTGCATGCTTAAGACAGACATGTTTGAATGCAGAATCATCTCGCTTTCTCTCTCACCCTCTGGTTCTTCGTCGGCTTGGTCCATCTCCAGTTTGGTCAGCAAACTAACAAACCACTCGAAAGACTTCTGGTCTCGGTTGATCCATATGAAGTCCACCTTGGGAGGACAGAGCACAGCCATGGGGGTGAGAGGAGAACCCGGCGCTCACTAGCGGCTGAGAGGCCCTCGCACGGCAGCCGTACCTTTCGCAGCTTCATCTCGCCGTCTTTGATGGTCTCGCACCAGGAATAGTTGCAGTTGGGGCAGTTCTGCTTCCGCATGCGATAGCTGTGGCAGACAGAGACGTGCGCACTTAGCAAATGTGACTGGAGTAGCATCCTGTCCAAGCAGCTCCCCGGACGGACGCCAGGAGATTCCCGGCAGCTCTGCTTTGAGTTTTGGGTCCTGGTGCCCACGATCTCCCCTCACCGCTGTCTAAACCTGGCTTTAGGGACCTGAGCACGGTGCGAGGTCACTGGCATCATCGTGCATGTACCTACCCCATGATCCCCCATCATATGCTCACCGATACATGATGCTCTGCAGGATGGATGCAAAGGGCGTGATTCCGATGCCGGCACCTATGAGCACCGCATGCTCGGAGGCAAAGATCTGCCGGGTTGGGGTCCCATACGGCCCTTCCACAAAGCACTAAGAGCCAATCACCCACACAAGGCAAAGTTACTCCTCCAGACGGCTTTTTATGCAGTATGTATAAATGATCATAAAATCATAAAAAAAAACTTTACAAATATTCTCCCAGATAACAGCCGGCTCTTGCAGATCCACTTACATGGCTTCTATTAACAAGCTAAACTGCGGCACATCTGCATTCAAGCCCTGCACAAAGGATTATAGTCCAGAAAGCTAATCCTGTCTCCATAACCAATCTAAATGTTGGAACATTTGCATTTAAAAAAGCATCAGTGGTTAATTCACGACTATCAGTTTGTAACTGACCTTAATGTCGCAAAACCGATGGTTGTCATTTAATTTTGCTGAGCTCTGCAGGGTGACAAAAGGTAGTTTAGCTCATTATAATTTTATGTCCCTCCTCTTGTTGCCCTCTGAGCCAATCGGAAGTACAGCAGGCAGAGCACACCTGTCTCAGGTGGGGGCTCTCTCCACACTCAGCCTGGCCCAGCTGCTCTGTGGATGACCCCTGTGCCGCGTGGGGCTGGTGACTGCGCCGGTAGGAGGTCAGTTCTATGGTGTCATCTCTGCTGGACGCCACCGTCCCGCTGCAGCTCGCGGAGTGGAGCGGCTCCTGGATGGGTGAACCACAACAGCCATGTCAGCAAAGCTCACGGTATCCTGAATGTAATGGGGGTGATATGCAAGAAAGAGCTACTGTCTTTGTCACATGTGACAGTCACATGACTGAACCTTCACATGTCCCCAAAAGCCTGCCATACTCAGGAAGATGAAAAAGACTTCAGCCAAAGCAAGAATGCCCCCCCCCCCCACCGCCACCTGCAGGGCGACACACCTGAGTACGCTTATAGTAATGAGCTTGTAAGTAAAAATGCAGTATTTAAGTAAAAATTTGTAAGTAAAAATTTGCAGTAAAAATGGCTGCTGGTGAGAAGGCCACTGCGTCACTGCGAAACAGCGGGTTCCTTCTCATTATCCATGTTTGCCGTCCCCCTGAATCAGGGTTTGTCTGCCGCTGTCAAGTTACCCTGTGTGACAAACGGCGCAAAGCGGCACTCGCACCCAGTGCCCCCTCATCCAGCCAGAGCCTCACTCAGGCTGCACAGAATAATCGGACAAGGAGGGTGACTGAGAAGAGGGGAGGGGGCACCTGGGCTTTCCCCCCACGCTGCCTCTTCCTCAGGCTTGTGCTGAGTCGCTTGGTGCTGCCCGCTTGGGGTTCCAGCTGCCTGAAGTATTCAAAGAGCCGATTGGTCCACTGTCCCATGGAGCGGATGTGAAGCCATATCGCGTCTGTGATGGAGGAAGTAGGACTGGGTCAAGTGTGACAAGATGGCCGGCGGTCATACGCAGCTGTGTCACTGTGTCTGCGAATGGATTACAGACACAAGGGCGGTATTTCCTATGACAGTATTAGTAAATGTGTTTCCCACCCAAATGTCCATCTGCTTTTAATCATTTCTTTTTCAGGCAGGGTCATGGTGATCATGTAAGTATAGTAATATAGTAGCATATGGCAGAAATCAAAGCCAGCTTCAGGCAGGACGCCAGCTTGTCGCCGAGCACATATGCTTTTAATCGGCATTCTCTTTGCCTCCCGGTGCGGAGGCTGTACCCTGCTGCTCCGGGGCGCTGCTGATGGTAAACGGGTGCCACTCATACTTAGCGATGGCCGGGATGTTGATGTACACATAGTCACCGGGCTTGAAATGGAAAAACTGGGGTCTCTTGATCACCAGATGGGTCACCTTCAAATACACAACGCCAGACAAATGGATTCCCTTTGAATATTTTGATATAAACGACACACTTTCTATGGATGTTTATATGGATCTTTATAGCAGAACGCTTTATATTATCAGGAATAATTGGTCACAATAACATTACTAAGCATGAAGAGAAGTGCCTGAAAAAGATAATGTGGTATATGAGGTTTATTACATTAGATCCTCCAACAGCATTTGCAGGGGTCTCAGAGTCTGGTTTTCACAGGCTTAGAACCTCCTGGTCTGAAGTATGAATGTTTAGGGACCCCTGCAGTCACACCCTTCGCCATTCAGCCTGAGACATACCTTGGATGGTAACAGGTTGACCTCCACAATGTAGAGCCCACCCATGCGTGACTCTGCCATACCCATCACCTTCTCCAGCAGGAAGACGAAGCCCGGCACCACAAACCACTTCCAGAAGTTGGCGCAGTGCACCACCAGCAGGACCCAGACCCAGATGTAGGAGAGATGTGACCAGTAGAAGACCTGCAACATGTGAAATCTCACCTTCGCCCGCCTGAACTGCAACTCGCCCACACCTTTGTATGCGGTTTGTAAAACAGGAAAGAAGCTGCCAAGAGTTGAGGTTAGTTTACAGTTATGGAATGGACTCCCATTCCATTCAGGAACTGGAATTTTAAGTGGGAAATCTCAAGGATGCAAAACTGAATTAAATTGCAGGATGCATAATTTAATTCCATAACATTCACAGAACATGAAAGCCTCCATTAGTTTCACGTTCCAACAAAAAATACCTGCCTTTTCTTCCTGGGCCCTTTAAAAAAAAAAACACCTTAACTAGATGTCAAACATCAGCTTGTTATTAACAATATTCCTTCATTCTTTCAAGTATTATGATTTTTATGATTCATCCATAAGTATTCATGACTTAGGCCTACAGACTGTAAAAATACCGCAAAATCAAGCAATGTTATTCCTTCGGTTCTCATTATCTTAACTTCAGTCTGGTTTAAACATTCTGCCACATGAAACTTTATAGTTACACCTTAACTAACAGTAAAGCGCACAGAGACCAACTGCGACTAATGTTATATGATGAGGCAGAACACACTGACTTTGAGTGATAACATATACTAATCAGTCTTTAACAATAATAATGCACTTTTAATTACTTAAGCATGTAACAATGTAATACTTTCTACTGACATCTGTCAGTTACCAAACAGTAACACAAACCGACCCTATTAGATGACTTTAATGGTTCAGAAGGTAACTATTTTAGATGTCAAAAAGTGGATTTTTCTGCACATGAATCATTTATTTTTTCCCTTTCAAATTAAAAGTCAGATAAGTGACACATATTAATTTAAGTGGATTTATGTAAAAAAATTGTACAACATGAGTAATTTTATGAATTATAAGTGTAATTGTTTTTGGCACAGCGTTTAAGGCGGCAGACCACAGACTGCTCTGTGGTCCCAGGCAGAGCTCCAGCACAAATTAAGCTCTGCTAACTACTGTTCAACAATAACATTAACAACACTTCCTGGTTTATTATTTATGTCAGTTGAAATAAACAAAGTTGTAATTTCATTGAACAACGGAGAATTCATATAAATACAGTAACCAATTTAAATGCATCCATCCATCTTGCAAGCGCTTACCCGGTACAGAGTTGCTGGGTCAATCACTCATTAGAAATTCCCAAAGAAATGCAGAACTGAGCCCAAAGCTGGAGCAGCTTGGTGTTTAACACGGTCAGCAAATATATAGCAGATGCAAAGAAAGCAGGAAGACTCCAGGTCAAGAATATCAATGCACTACTGCTAGTACATTCTAATGGAAAGTCTTGTAGTTTTGTCTACAGAGAACTTTACAGTGGATTACAGATCTCACCTACAGGGCAATAGAGTTCTCACCTAAAGGGCATTAGAGTGCTCACCAACAGGGCATTATGGAGATCATCTACAGGGTGGTAGAGAGCCCACCTACAAGGCATCAGAGAGCTCACCTATAGGGCAAAAGAT